CCCTAGTCCCTCCCTTATTACTAGAGATTTGCATCCTGGGTAGCGTATATTAGGACCGCTGGAGGCAATGTGAACACCTTTAGGCAAAGTGTTCTAGAGCAGTTGTTTAACAGCCCCTCATGTTGTAACCCCAATCACAGAATTTTCATTGCTACTCCATAACTACAGTTTAGCTACCAACCACTGTGGATCTAACGGAAAGGGGTTTTCTGATGGTCTTAGGTGACCCCTGTGAAAGGTTTTTTTTTTTTTTAAATCCAAAGATGTCAAGACCCACAGGTTGAAGAAGCTGCTCTAATGGCAGACACTTAGGGCTTGTCCCATACACACGGGTGTGTCTTCTTCCAGATTGGTCTGATGCCAGGGAACAAGCCTGCCTAGAGCATCCCAGTCCTCCAGATTGGAATTATTCCCAGATTTTCAAGTGACATTGGCCTGGGTAGGGTTGGGGGCTGCGTTTCATAAACTTTTCAGGGCTGAGACTTTGGGGCTGCTCTGACCTTGCTGCCTTGGGCCCTTGATTTGCTGACACGGGTTTTGGGCACCTGGGATGCCAAGATGGAAGGCTTCATCGCATCCTGGTCTGGTGCTGGTCACTGCATCTTTGTCTGGTTGTGTAGGTTTTCAGAGTTTCATGAATACAACTTCCAGTCCAGGCTCTAGAACATTCACTAGTCTGGCCTCTCTCTCTGCCCCACCCCCTTTTCTGGGCAAGCAACACTTGCCTCATGCTTTGAGAGTGTCCCACTCTGTAGGAGGGTGATGGTCAGGGGGTCAGCTTCTTTCTAGCCCAGCCTCACACAGGGCGGGGCGTAAGACCTGGGGTGCCAGAGGAGTTATCGTGATCCACTGTTGCTATTTCAAACAGGAGGGGCCGGGAGGGCTGGGCCTAGAGCCAGCAGAAGTCACATTAACAATTAAGGTCTTTGCCACTTTCATTCCACCCTCACTGCATGAAATATTCAGACACGGGAGGAGCTGGGTCTCCGATCTCTGCCGTGAGTGTGCGCACGTGTGAGGCCGTTAGTTGTAGACCTGGGGCTTGAGGTAGCACCCGAGGCCTGGCATGCAGAGCATCTGCAAGCTGCAGGACTGGATGGTAGGAGCAGCTGCCAGCTGTCACAGAGATATACATAGCAGGACTCAAAGGCTGCATTTGGAGCCTAGAACTTAACACCCAAGCAAACCCTGCTGTGGGACACTGCCCTCTGAGCCTGACAGCCACTGCCATGATACTTAAGGCTAAGCCAGTTGACATTGCCTCAGAGGAGGAGGGCTAGGGAGGGTAATTAGATACCCCACCCCACCTGAGATTCCAGCCACTCCCTCCTTACCTCCTTCCCATTGCTAACTGTCCAAGTTACTCCTGGCTTGGTTGGTTAGTACTAGAGTACCTACAGAGTTGGTTTACTGAAGGGGCAGGTAATCTATGCAGCTATTCCTGCTGGTTACTATTGCTGCTATGGTTGCTTCTCAGAGCCCCCAGGAAAGTATGGTGCTAACAAACTCACCATCTCCTCCACTCAGCTCCATTGCCTGTGCCTCCTTCCCCTGCTCCACACCCGGGCTCTTCCGTGACTCACCCTGGCCCCTGCTTCTGCTGCTTCATCCACTTGATGTGCCCCCCAATCTCGGCCAATCGCCCCTCAGCTTTCAGGGTTCAGCTTCCCCAACAAAGCTTTTCTCAGGGCCCCAGGAAGCTATGAGTGGTATTTTTGCTTTGCTCGTTGGTGGTACTTATCTATTGGAGCACACACATGTGTCTGGTAAACCAATGAACGAAAATGACCCTGGACAAAGTGTTTCCTTTCTGGGACTCACTTTCCCCCCTTTAAAACAAACTCAATGAGACATGCACTGAAGAGTCAATCATTTGCTTAGCAAAGAGTTAGAGCTGTCAGAGCTGGAGTCTGAGCTTAGAGCTGTAGGCCTGGCGAGGAATAAGAGCCCCTTACACTAGCAGTGTGTGTGGACTGACAGGATCTCATTGTGTAGCCCTGGCTGGCCTCGAACTTGCTCTGCGGCTTATACTGGATTCGGAGTGTTCTAGGGGACACAGCACATTTGTCCTGGAGATCTCCTCTTGCTTTGGGATGCTAGTTCAGTTCTGGGAGCAAACCATGTGGAGCAAAGGGGAACAGCAAGTCTCTTTGAAACCACCCAGCAATACCAATGCTAGAGCCTTCCCCAAGCTCTCCAGGGAGGTTCTCAAGGTCCTGGAGGAAGGCTTCCCAGCCAGTAGGGTGTAGATGATCTGAACCACTGCTTGGATAAAGGTTTCATTCTTCTCAGCTGAAACTGTCACCCTGGAAAAACAGAAGACAGAGGAACATAGGAACACCACAAGGAGACAAACGGCTTCCACAAAGCCCAGGACAAATTGAATTGTCTCAGCAATTTCCCTGGTGAGCAGAAGTGTCCCCTTGGGTGTGTGCTCTGCTCATTCCCCCCATTCTCTCCCTGGAGCAACTCCCCAACATAGTCTTTGCTCTGTGGGGAGCCTCCAGGGAGCCTACTGAATCTGGCTACACATCTGCAGCTTCCCCAGGCACAAGCTGTTTTAAGTCCCTTCCTTTCTAAAGCCAAACTGTACTGGGCTGGACCTGCAGAACACTCAGCTGACTCACCCATACTGAGTGTGTGGCTGGCCCTGGGGCTCATTGTTTCCCATCCCTTTCTCCAGCTCATCTCCAAGTGCTGTGTGTGTGTGTGTGTGTGTGTGTGTGTGTGTGCATGTGTGTAAGAGGACTGAATCTAGCCCACCCTGTGTGGTTCCCAACCCTGACACAAGAACCACAGTCTCTTAAGGTGATCTAAGACAGTCAAGACAGCTCTCCTGCTTTAAGTCACACCTGGGCCTGCCCTTTGACTTCAGACCTCATGTGTTTCATCCTTCTTTTTCTTCTATTGAGACAGAATCTCACTCTGTAGCCCAGACTTGCCTGGAATTCCCAGAGATTCCCCCAGCCTCTGCCTTCAAGTTTTAGGACTGATGACCTGCACCACCCGTGGCTCTCTTTTGTCCTCTCTCTCTCTCTCTCTCTCTCTCTCTCTCTCTCTCTCTCTCTCTCTGTCTCTCTCTCGCTCTCGCTCTCGCTCTCGCTCTTCCTTCCTTCTCTCTTTCTTCAAATACTATTACATTTATTTATTTGTGTGTGAGGGTTTATGCATGCTATGGTCCACGTATGGGGGTCAGAGGACAACTTGAGGGAGTAGGGTCTTTCCTGCCATCACGTGGGTCCTGGGGGTCAGTTCAGGTTGTCAGACTGGGCATCAGGTTCTTTTACCTACTGAGTCATCTCACGGGTCCCTCCTCTCTTTTGAACCTTCCGCTAACAGGCCAACCCCTAAGGCCACTCCACTAGCTGTTCCCTCCACCTGAACAGCCTACGCCCCTTACCTTTGTCCTTATTGCTCAGGCTCAGATTCAAGCTCCCACAGCCTAGTCCCTCCCAGAGACTACGGGGACTGATTTCCCTGCATTGCGCTGCAGACAGCCTCACAATATCTTCTCATATTCTACTGTCCCTTCTCCCAAGGGACACTCCTCAGAGGGCAGTGGTCTCAGTAGTCTTACCCGGGTAGAATTCCCCCACACTGGGGAAGGTGTGAGAGGATACACGCAGTGGTTCAGTAAACGGCTGAGTAACTGTAAAAGGGGACGTCAGCTGCTGCGCGGGCACGCGCTCCAGGCCCCTGGGTAGCTTACCCCGGTGTGCGTGCGCCCGGGGTGGGTTATCTCCTGGCAGGTCCAGGGGAAACGCACCCTTCCCTCGGTCTGCCGACTGCAGAAGCTCCGTAAATGCGCTTTGGGGACCGGACTTACAGGCTGTAGGACGATCTGAATCCCCTGCAATAATGCGGGGCGGGGGAAGGTTCTCCCGTTGCTGTGCGCCTCTGGACCCCAGCTTTATGGCCGGGGTGGAAGACCTTCCCTCGGCTTTCACAAGGGTTTCCACCTAGCGAACCAAAGACGTTCCTCCAATCCCAGGGATTTAGTGGTTGAGTGTGCGAAGGGGCAGGGCTCTGAGAGCCGCTCCAGGAAATGGGCAGGTCCCCGGTCCCCTTGCCTCAACAGGCCTGGGGAAGAGGGGAGAGATCTGGCCCTGAGAAAAGACTGGCAAGGCTCTACAGTCCTTAGCTAGGGGCGGAAAGACAGTCCCGCTGAGAGTTTAGGCAGGGGAACCCAGGTAGAGATTGGGGCGGAGGAGGTCGGTGGCCCTGAAAGGGACAAAGAGCAGCTCTGTCCGACCCCCTACATCAGGGTCCTATTGTTCCTCCTCTCTCGGACTATACCGAACTCTGGTGCTCCCGGGAAAAAGAAGGGAGCTGCGCCCACCCGGTGGGCATTTGTTTATTGAGAATGAAAAAAGGAGGGTCGGAGACGCGGGTCTGATGGGGGGGGCGCTCATTTTCGCGCGTCTCCTTTAAGGGAAGCCCTGCCCTACCTTTCCCACCGGTCCCCGCCACCCCCCAGCCCTACCTGCATTTTAAAACCGCCTTGTAGTCCTGGGATTGGCCCAGGCCGCGTCCTCCGGGCGCAGAAACTTGAACCGGGGGGGAGGAGGGGGCTTGGCCTCACGGTTGGACGAAACCATCGTTGCGGCATCCCCCGCGCGCGCCCCGCCCCTCCCGCACACCCCCGGACCAGTCCAATCAAACCGGTGGGAGGGCGGGACCACGGCTCGAACGCGCCTCTGGCAGGGCGCCCGGCGGGCCGTCGCACCGCGTAGGGGAACCTCGGGGGCCGGCTGTGCCACTGCTCACCTCCCTCTCGGAGGCGGGGTCCGATTGCGGCGCCCCGCCCCCTCTCCGCCCGAGGTGGGCGGGGCGGCTGGAGCTCCGGGAGCGGGGCCGGGGGCGGGCCTCCGCCTGCTGCGCCCGAGCCGGGAGAGCCCGGGCACCGCGGCCGCCGACGCAGCCACCCTCCCCGTTCCCGAGCCCTGAGGCACGCGCGGGCTCCCGGGTGACCTGAGCGGGGGCTGCGGGAGGGAGCGGGAGGCGGCGCGGGGCGGGCCGCACGCGTCCCCGGCCGCCCCCCGCGCGCGCGTGGCCGGGCCCAGAGAAGCCCCGGCGCGGGGAGCGCCGGCCCGGCGCGGGCGAGGGCGATGTCGCGGTGACGGCCCCGCCATGGCGAAGCCCCCGGCGGCGGTGGCGGCGGCGGCTGCAGCGGCGGCGTCGGAGGAGCTGAGCCAGGTGCCGGACGAAGAACTGCTGCGCTGGAGCAAGGAGGAGCTGGCGCGGCGGCTGCGGCGCGCCGAGGGCGAGAAGGTGGGCCTCATGCTGGAGCACGGCGGCCTGATGCGCGACGTGAACCGGCGGCTGCAGCAGCACCTGCTGGAGATCCGCGGCCTCAAGGACGTGAACCAGCGGCTGCAGGACGACAATCAGGAGCTGCGCGAGCTCTGCTGTTTCCTGGACGACGACCGGCAGAAGGGGCGCAAGCTGGCGCGCGAGTGGCAGCGCTTTGGGCGCCACGCGGCCGGCGCTGTGTGGCACGAGGTGGCCCGCTCGCAGCAGAAGCTGCGGGAGCTCGAGGCGCGCCAGGAGGCCCTGCTTCGCGAGAACCTGGAGCTGAAGGAGCTGGTGCTGTTGCTGGACGAGGAGCGCGCGGCTCTGGCGGCGGCGGGGGGCGCTGGCGGCGGCGGCGGCGCGGGTTCCCGCAGCTCCATAGACAGCCAGGCTAGCCTAAGCGGGCCGCTGGCGGGCAGCGCGGCGGGCTCAGGGGCCCGCGACGTTGGCGACGGCAGCAGTACGTCCAGTGCGGGCAGCGGCGGCAGCCCGGATCACCATCACCACGTCCCACCCGCGCTGCTGCCCCCCGGGCCGCACAAGGGTCCAGACGGCAAGGCCGGAGCCACGCACCGGTCTCTGGATGACCTGTCGGCGCCGCCGCACCACCGAAGCATCCCTAACGGCCTGCACGGTAAGCACCGCGCCCGGATGGGAAGCCTAGGGGTATTGTGAAACTATAGTTCCTGAACACCTCACAGGTTCGGGATTGTGGGGACCCGCCTCCAGACCCCTCCGCAGCGGGCATAGCAAAAGGAGCATCCGGCGTGGTGGTGCCCCTGCCTAGCTGATACCGCAGAAAAGTTTCGTATCTACAGCTTTTTGTATTAGTGTCTGGCACTGCTGTTCTGTCTAAGGGTGTCTCTCATCCCACCCTGAAAACACTTGTGGGCAGAGGGAAGTTTTTCTTGGAAGGCTATGAAAGACTCCTGAGTTGAAGCAAGTGAATTTCCCCTTCTGCTTGGAACCACAGATGTTCCTCAAACACAGGCAGCGCCCACAGCTGCACTGTAGGTTTGTGCTTTCTTCCAGCCCAGTTTCCTCCCCTGCTTCCTTGTAGTCCTATCTCATCCTGGACTGGGCTGGCCCGGCCCACTGGCACTGGTGGTAAGACTTTGAGGCAGCTGGGCCAGAGCGCTCTGGGCTTAGAGAGGCTTCCTGGCTTCCCATAAGTCCTGCACTACTGGTTGGGACACCTTTTTCAACTTGGTCTCTACAATGTTCCCCAGGGGCTATAGTTGGAGTGGATCGACTTCTCAGTGTGCCTCAGTTTCCTTGCTTCCCTTCTTCTAAGCCAGAGAGGCTGATTCCTGCCTCACCAGGGTGGGTGTGAGGTGGAGATAGATAATGCCCCTGAAGAGATTTATAAGCTTGATCGTCTTACAGGAAGTGCCCGGGTCATATGTGGCTGGAGTGTGGGGGGAGCTCAGCTCTGCCGGTGCTGAGGGTGTCTCTGCCATAGGCCCTGTGTCCTAGCCATCCCTACCCTGAAGCTTCCCTCCTCTCCTGACTGCCAGATACTGCCCTTCCCTGTTTCCTCACAGTGTTTGAAAGCTTAGTTCCCGGTGTTGGTGGCACCTGCTTCTGCCTGAACTGTTTACCTGGTGGCGGAGAATAACCCACCCTTTCTGTTCTCCTCAAAGCCTCTCTCTGTCCAGGCACTATCAAAGCTTCGAAGAACTCTTCCCCCAACCTGACAGCTAGAGCTGAGGACCAAGCTTTTTCTTAGTTTTCTGGCCAAGCCCTTTGCAGGCATGTTGGGGTGGGGACAGGTCGCAGTTGCATTCCGGTGCAGGATGGGGAGGTTTCCTCCTTATTTACTATCTAGAACATTTGAGTTCAGGAAAGGATTGGGTCTAGATGGATACTTTGTTACTGATTAGCAATCTACCCCTGCAACTCCCGTTTCCTTTTGTAACACTTCATCCACAGGTCCTCACCTACTCTGTCAACCCCATCTGCAGAGTTCCAGCTCAATTTGTTGGGGATGCCTGCCCCTCTGCACAGTGCTTGTATCTCTTTCGTTTCTCCCTTTCTTAGGGACTCTAGGAGGGCCAGTGTTCTGGGTCTTGATTTTCTCAAGTGCATCATAGAGGAGGGGAGTCTTTGCAGATAGGGAAATCGAGCAGTAGCACTTGACCAGAGCGATTCTCCGCAGGACACTGCCTTGCTTGTGTCTCCACCTCTTTGCAGATGATCTAGGAGATGTGGGGCTGGCCCAGAGTTCCAGTTGCAGTAGTGAATAATGCAGCCACACCGAAGGACCTGGCCAGCCTGCAGGTTTTCCACCCCTCTGGGGATGGGTAGGGGCCGAAGTGTCCAGTTTCCTACAGCCCTCCTCCTCCCTGCCCCCCAGTCTCCTTGCAACAAAACTGCTGCAGGTTTCTGTAGTAGCCAAGCTTTGCTTTGACGCGGAAATGAAAACTCAGCATTTTTGTTACAAATTTCAGTCACACACCGGATTGTTCTTTTCTGTTTTGTCTCTTGAAGTCAGTGGGTGGCCATGAGATATCCTCCCTCTAATGTGCGCAGAATTCCAGGAAACAAGGAAAGCTGGGCTTCTCTCTGCTGGGACCTGAAGCCTTGCATTGACTTTGAAGAGCCGGACTGAGCTGAGAGAGATAGAGAGTTCAGGTGGTCACACTGGGCTTAGTGCCTGATCCTGACATGTAGTCACAGGAACCCGGGGCAGTTTGCATCAGCCCTGCTTTACAGATATGTAGGGTGGCACACAGAGAGGACCCCAGCCCTCTCTTGCTGGGATCTCTACCAGGTCCATCGAAGTTTCTGCCAAAAATGACTTGAGGCCCTTGTCATTGTCATTTTTGCTTTCCTGTGAGTTAGATAGCAGGGATGCCTCCCTGTTTGGGATTCTTGACCTGGCTGTGCCTCTCCTCTCCCATGCTGGGAAGTGTTACTTCCTTATCAGTGACCACAGAGTGGCTTATTGAGAACCCAGTTATCCACAGGGTCTAGACATCTTGACTCCCTCGTGTATCTTGGGCAACTTGGTTAATTTTGCCTCTCTGTCCTTCTAGAAGGTTAGAGAAGCCCACAGAACCCTGGGCTCCACGAAAGCCAGTGAGGTTGACACCTGCCCACAGTGGTCCCAGCAGTGGTTGGAAGAATCTGCCGTGGAAGTCCTGCCAGCACAGTTTGGCTTCTCTTCCAAACTCTCCTTGCCTTTGAGACTGCTTGTGGGCTCATTCGCCTCTGAGCTCTGTGTGTGGGGTGTAAATGGCACCTGATGCTGAGCTGGGGAACCGAGGCCCTGCAGTCTTCTCTGGGGGACCAGTATTGCTGTGCCCACAGCCCTGTAGGGTGTCCTAGAAGGCTTTGAGTGGCCCTGGTGGAGGTGATCATCTGTATTCAAGGCAGTTCTGGCTGAGGTGGGCTTGGCCAGTCTCTGAATGCATATGCAAATAGGTCTCTCAGGCAGGCAGTGGCGGACGCTGGGCGGGCACTAGGCAGGCACTAGGCAGTTGGGCGCTAGGCTGCTTTAGAGAGGCTGGTTCCTGTCTGGCTGAAGTCAGGTGTAGGGTGCCTTGCTGGCATTCTGATCTTGTCCTGTAGGTGAGACGATGTAAACGTCAGAAATTCAGCCCCCTTTTCTTTCCCCAAGTGAAGTGGTTTCAGACATTTTCCCTCTGGGGGTATAGCTCAGGGGTAGAGCATTTGCTCAACATGAGGACAACAGCAGCAGCTACAGCAACAACAACAACACACATACACATACGTCAGAAAAGAGCCTTTTCAGTCGCATCCTTCTAGCTTAGCTGCCCATGCCCTGCCCTTGGGCGTGCCCTTCTTCCCCCCTCCCCCAGCAGCAGTTAGCTGCTCCCCTGCAGCTAACTCAGAACCCCCAGCAAACCTGTGAGTGAGTGACTGCCATTTATCTTTCCATGTTTGGGTTAAAATTCTGAATCCCTCAAAATGAGCAGGGTTTGTTCTTCCATTTGTGCTTTTGTTGGTTTTGGGAGGGTGGAGTAGGGGGTGGTCTGGGCCTTTAAAAAAAGACAGAGCAAGCTGGTGGTGAATAGGTCTTTTTTCCTGGAGGCCTCTGGGCTCTACTAATGAGCCTGCCAGCCCGGAGCGAAGGTCAGAGGCGATAATGGGCGGGTTATGCAAGCTTTCCCTTTTCTCCCAGCCTGACTCTGATAGGGGAGTTTGTGAGGTTGATTGTCCACAGGTTTGGGGTGCTAGGCCCTCAGGGCCCCAGGCATTCACAGGCAGGTGACCCACTCAGCAGGTCACATGCACCTCAAAGAAGAACTCGCTAGTTGTTGAGGGCTACCATGTGCTTCCAGGAGGCTTTTTTTTGGCAAACTGAGGCCTGAAGAGGTGTTGGGCATTGCTTTGGTTCCCTCAAGGTGACTGGAGTGAGTCCCGGGTCTTCTGTGTTAGCTGGTGCAGCCCATGTGTGAGCTCCATGTTGGGGGAGGGCACATGCAGTAAAATATCAGTTCTCTGGGGTGCTTTCTGCCCTCCCTTTTGGAGAGAAGGCTCCTTTGCATGGTTTTCCTCCACCTAGCTTCCTCTTTCCTTCTCACTTCCTACATCAGTCAGGCTCCCATCGCAGAGGTTAGCCTCCACAGCGATGGCCCGAGTTAGGTCTCTGAGCTCCTGGGACATGAACTTTGTGAAATATTGCTCCATGACCCGAGAATTTTTTGAGGAAGCCAGCTCCTACACATACCTGCTTTCTTTTCTTTTTTCCAAGACAGGGTTTCTCTGTGTAGCTCTGCCTGCCTCTACCTCCCAAATGCTGGGATTACAGGTGTGTGCACTGCCCAGGCTCATATACCTGCTTTGTGTTCTGCATACACCTTGCCTGTGGTGGCAGTCATTTAGACAGTTCCTTGAAACCCTTAGGCAAGTCCCTGAACCATTAATCTGCATAATGGGAAACATGACTGACTTTTGAGGGTGGGAAGTGTCTTTGTGTGGCAGCCTGGAAGGACTGTTTCTGAGCTGGAACTCCCAGTGCCGACCTTAAGGCATCTCTGTGCAACCTGCTGCCTAGGGCTCCAGCTCCAGGGTCAAGAGAGTGGAATGAGCTCTGTCCTACCTGATCGGAGACCTTGAGAAGTTACTGACCCTCTCGGTCTCAGTCTCCTCATTTGTGATATCTTGCTCCTGTAACTGGGCCTTTAAAGGAGGAGTCTTTGGCTTCTGTTTTTGTTTGGATCCCATTCTCATGCTAGGAAGTACTACTTGTGTGTGTGTAGGGAACTCCTTAACCCACGCTTGTGAGTGGAGCCTCTGTGGCCAGTCCTGTTGGCCAGTCCTGTCTCAGAGAACAGAAGAAAAATGGCTTATAGTCAGGAAGGAGCAGAATGGCTAAGTTCTGAAGGTGGCAACTAGAGCATCATGGGAAAAATCACCTCAGAGGGGCTGGGTCTAAAGTTCCGGTGATTCCCAAGTCAATCAGGAAAATGAATAGTCTTGTGCCCTCTAGAGCGAGGAGCCCTCTGTTAGGGGAGGTATGTGATCACCTTCATGGACACTGGTGACGAGCTTTCCTGTTGGTGGCCCTTGTAGATGCCCACGCATTGGGTTGTGCCGCAGAAGGGCTGTGAGGGGTAGGAGGGCAACCGAGAGTGGGAACTGACCTCATAGCTGGCCCTTTAAGCA